AAAGTGCACAAGCGACCAACTTCAGCGTTGGCTGCGACTTTGAAGCTGAAATCGCGTTCGGTGTGAACGCAGCATTAGACATTTTAGGGTGCCCAGGAACAACACAGAAACGGCAAAGACTCAAGCCTGACACGAACTAGAACCTGCTGGACCACCAGAGTCAGACCTGAGAACAGCCATCAAGCACAGTGGTGGTTGCATCATGCCACGTTGCACAAAGGGGAGGAAATAATGAAGAAGCACAGATTTCCAGCACAGATATCTTCAACACTATTTCAAAACAGCAGCATAATAATTTGAGCACAGTTGAGTGTTCCAACAAGACAATCATCCAAAACACACATCAGAATTGGTTGATTGGATCAAACTAGCTAACATCTGGATTGCCATCCTAGATAAACAAATTTAACCCTACTGAAATTTTATGGACTTTTCCTAAAACCAAGGTCTGTGACAAAAAAAAAACAAAACAACCTGACTGAACTGGATCCTGCCAAAAACACTGGTCAAACATCCAGCTATAATTATGCCTGAAGCCTGTTAATGGATACGTAAAATATGTGGTTGAAATATTAGTGGGAGTGTATGTATATTTGAACCTGTTCAGATTAGAGAAAATCCACAATAAATTCAAACTTGTGCACCCAAGTCTTGTTTTTAAAAAATCACCAAAGTTCTCTGTGATATAATCATTGAGACCTGAAAAAAAAAAAACAGAATGATTCATATGTTTGTTTTTACRTGTGCCCATTATGAAATCGACTTCTCATTTTCCTCCTGCAGTTTGTAAGGACGCCTCTTTAGCAGCACATCCTATTACCAGGACTACTTGACATTACACTTTAAGATAATGTGAACATGTTGCACCAGACGGATGATTATGTGGCTGTTTTKTATGCTGTCTTTACAAAGCACAGAAAAGGTGCTGCCTTATTAAAGCCCATTAAAGGAGCTAGCGTGACGGCGCGCACACACAGTTAGCTGTGTATTTTTACCTGCTCCTGCCCCAGGATGATGACTCCTCCAGGTTTGATGGGATGCCAAGCTGCGAGGTTGTCACCGGTTCCCAGCTTCACCCCGTCCTGATAAGCGTCCCACTGGCCATCTCGGGTGGTCCAGGAGATGCAGATGTGGTGCCACTTACCATCACGCACCTCCAGTGGCAGCTGGGCAACCTACAGCCAAAATCCTATATTAATCCTGAGAGTGCTTAGGATTATTTCATCGTGTGAATGCTGATTCACACAGATTTGTATTCACATTGTTGTTTTCCTGATTGTAATATTTTTTGGCAAAAACACCTTTTTTCTATGTTAGCCATTCATAYATCAAAACATTTAACTCATTCTGTGATTTACTTTAACCTTTTATACTTTTCTAAAATATTAAACTTTAATTAGAATTATCCCCATAGAAATACATTGAGAGCTTTACAATTTCTTCAAAAACATCCTGTTAGATTCTGCTTAAAAAAAGCTTAATTTTTGTCTTTTTGTGCTGCTTTTAGCTATCATTCTGCTGCTTTAAGCCTTTGGCATTTTTCATCTAACAGCTTTTCTTGTCTTTCTGTTACAGTTTTAGCTAGATTTTTGTGTCATTTTAGCGAGCCTTTTGCTACTTTTAGCTTTAGCTCAACCTTTGCTACCTTTAGCTACTCTTCTTTAGCTTTTAGCTAGCAGTGCGTGAATTTTAGCTAGTGCTTTGTTACTAATAGCTTTTAGCTTGTTGCTTGCTACTTCCGTTTATTGACAGTTTTTTGGCTTCTTTAAGTTTAGCTTTTTCTGCCTTTAGCATTGAGCTTATGTTCAGCTGCTTTTAAGTTTGGCTAGACTTATTGCTTTTAACTACTGCTTCGTTGCTTTTAGCTTTTAGCTATCTTTTCTAGCAATTTTCTATTGTTRGCAAATATTTAGAGACTTTTGGTTTCAGGATACCATGTTGCTACATTTAGCTCTAACTTTTTTTAGCTGATAAACATTCTAGAATGTGCCTAAAATGTTACATAGTACTGTTTCTGTGCTAATTTTGATGTTTTTGTGCGTATTTGTTCAAATCTGTAATATTTGGTCTAAAAACGTCTTACCTTTTACTACTTTAAGTTATGGTTCTGCAATGTTTAGTTTTTTGCAAGCCTTATGTGTGCATTTCGCTACTTTGACTTTTTAGCTAGACTTTTGCTTTTAGCCACTGTTCTACTACTTCTAGCTCTGCTTCTGCTACTTTTAGCTAGTCTTTTGTAGCTTTTACTTCACATTTTTTTACTTTTAGCAAAAATTTAGCAACTTTTAGCTTTGAACTAGTCTTTTGCTTCGGCTGATTTTTAGCTTCCTTTTTGCTATTTTTCACATTCATGGTTTTCTCCTTTCAGTTTTGACAAATATGTCAAAAGTCTTTTGGCATTCATGTCACATTTTCATAGAAATTGCAGTTGTTCTTTTTAAATTCTGAAATAATTAGCTTATAAAAACGAACCACGACACTTTAATATGTTACCTTGTCATTAATGAGCAGCTCAATGGGGTTATTRCCCCACTCTATCAGCACAATCTCGTTGGCTTGTCCCGGAACACCATAAGAGAAGGGGGTTCCGATCCCAGGGCCGGCGCTGGCCTTGATCCACATGCACAGGGTGAAGGCGTACATCTCCGGCAGGCTCTTGGTGATGCGGCCGAACAGGTAGTTGGTCCGCTGGGGGAGGGACAGCTTAAACTGCTCGGGGGACTTAAAATCTCCTCCTCCTGACATAAACAACAGGAAACAAGACAGTTAAAAAATGAGTACAAAGTAAATGAAATTACCTTTTATACCTATAATAAATGTACTCAARGAGCCTTGAATTGTTTTCATTAAACAAAGAAAAGTAATTTTTACTCATTTAATAATGTTTTTGTCTGAGTGTGTGTTTGTGTGTCTCTGTGTCAGCAAAATATTCATGAACCACTAACTTAATTTCAACAAAACTCTCAGAACGTAACCATGAGTTGCACATCTACAACTAAATRTCTTTTAGAGTTGACCCAATTCAACTTAGCACCACAACTAAATGACTTTAGCAAGTGCAAAAAAATCTCAGATRGTTTTACAAATAAGTTTAAATTTAGTGTGGTAGTAGACTGATCCCTAACACATCCTTTGAATTTACTACACATAATATATTTGTTTTAATCTTTGCCTTTAACATCGGAATCAACCATGTTTGTCTGTTAAAGGGGCAATATCATGTAAAATCAACTTTTTGAGTTTTATATTATCATGTTATAATGTTATACTCTCATAAAAAAACATGCTCAAAGCTCATTCATGCATGGTTGAGAAATCCTGCAGCGTTTTTAGGAAGCCATGCAGAGGAGCAAAACGACAGGTGGGGACCAGAAACGCCTTTTGGTACCAGAAACGCCCCCTGGGACGTGTCTTTAAGCCAAACTTCCTCATCACGGAGCACAACCCCTGCAGGCTCTCGGCATTAACAGAGCAAAGTGAAAGTGAAACTTAAACTGTCTGCTGCTCTTAACACTACGTCTCACTCAGTGAAGCTCTTTTCAGATTCAAAATACCTTTTAGGAAATGTATTTTCWGATGCCAAGTAAACTGCATCATAAACTGCGCGAACCCCCCGCCCCCCACTATGGCAAGCCGTTGGGGTCATAAATCGGACATATATTTACGTGCAAATCCGAACGCGCGGTGCCGTAAATAACGTGCGAACACGCGGTGGCGCCACGCGCGGTGGCATTAAATAACGTGCGGTGGCGCTTTCTACCCTAACCCTAACCCTAACCAACCGCGCGTTCGCGCGTAACGCCACCGCGCGTTAGGATTTGCACGTAAATAAACGCTCGATTTATGGCCCCAACGACTTGCAATACCCCACCCCACCCGACCCGCGCGCACAACGCCCCCGCACCGAAAGACGGGACAGAAGAKGAAGAAGGTTCTTAAAGAGACAGAGGCCAATTTCAAGGTGTTTAGAAAAGGAAGTGATGAGAAAAGTTTATTTACTATTTAAACTTAAAAACCTTTTTGATAACAATTAAAGGGGACATAGATACTTTATTAATGTATAGTGTTTAAATGTATGCCTGAGAAACACATAATATTGCCCCTTTAACAAAATATCGAACAAACTAGATTTGAATGAAACTTTCAGAGTGTTATTATTGGATATAGAGCTACAGCTGATTTACTTTTAGATCTAGTTTAAGACAGCTGCTAGAGCAGATCCACCTCAAACACAGAAGTGGGTACGACTCAAAAATAAAATGATTGCTGTTCCACAGAATGACACACAACTTTTGTCTTTCCCTTTGTGCCACGTAGTCATCCTGTCTCTGTGTTTTGGGTTTATTTTCTTTATCCCAGAGCAGAAGTGACTTGCCACGGCAGGTGTCGGACGGCGCAGCGTCCTCCGTTTACCTTTCTCCAGCTCGTTGATCCTCTCCACCAGGGCGTTCAGCGTGCTCTCCGTCTTCAGCCTGTAGGCAGCCGTGGCGTTGGACAGCAAACTCTTTTCCTCCTCCAGGTTGCTGACCTTCTTCAGGAGCTGCTTCTCCAGYTCCCCGAGCCGCCGCTGCAGCAGGTCGCGCAGCTCGCTGGGGAACGAGGCCCCTGATATGTTGGCCCTCACCTGCTGTTGCTGTGCGGGAAGCACAGGCAAGGAGAGCATGAACAGGAAGTGAAGAAAGATGATCACCGAGTACTGAACACCTGAACGGCTTAAAGTGATGTCTTACATCACTGGTGAACAACTTCTGCTTCATCGGGCAAGGTTAGGGCTTTTCTAATGATGCACTGTTATAACAATGTTCTTTAAWAGGTTTTTGCCAATATTTACATAGATGACTATGACTCAGACACATTTACAGGTATTGAACTAAAATTTGCTGTAGCAGTAGATGAGAGTCATTCCCAACTAATACTCAAAGCAGTAACAAATTACGTAAAATCTTAGCTTTTAACTTTGGCAACAACTCCTAATGAAATGTTGGATTTACTTAACCATGTAATGTTACCTGGTTCCACTTAACTGAGTTGAGTAAATTCAAAGCAACATACTCGTGTTCTTTGGCTAAAAAACTGGTATATTGCTTTGAATTTACTCAACTCAGTTAAGTGGAACCAGGTAACATAACATGGTTAAGTAAATCCAACATTTCATTTTTTACAGTGTGCTCTGTCTGTAAGGCCCTGTCACACTAGACAACTTATGCCAACTTATGAACATTTTAAAGACATCTACACTGAAGATGGAACTGAAAAAAATCAACAGGAAGCTTCTTTTCGGCATGTAAATAATGTTATTCAAGCAAATTGATCAAATATATGACTTTTATTGGCTATTTGGACAAAAATGTTTCATAAGTTGGCATAAGTTGTCTAGTGTGACAGTGTCTTTTGCAAAATATCTCATGAACCGTTGAATGAATTTTAACAAAACTCTCCAAATGCAATTATTCAACATAAATCTACAACTCTCTCACTTTTGGAGTCAGTTGGATTTAAGGTTGCTGCCACAGCTAATCAAACTGAGCGAATATAAAAGGTTAGAGTCTCAGTTAATGTTACATATTTCATTTAAAAATTAGGTTTTGCAGTAGCTGAAAGTGTACCCCAACACTTATATTGCCAAGTACTACAAATTGCACAATATCTGTTAAAAACTTTGACATTAACCGGAGAGAACTCTGTCTGTTAGCAACATATCTCATGAACCCATCAACAGATTTTATCGAAACGCTCAGAAACAAATGTTTGAATGTGCTTCGACAACTGATTAACTTTTGAGATCAATCCGATTCAAGATGGCTGACACTGCTCATCGAACTCAGAAAACACAAAATGGACCACAGTGCAGTAATTTTCACAAAATTTGAACTAAAATCAAATGAGTTGTGGTAGTAGCTGAGAGTCATTCCCAACGCATTCTGTGAGCGCTGACAAATCACGCGAGAAATAGAAATTTAGTTTGAGCTCCTGCATCAAGATTTGACCAAAACGGTTATCACGTCGTCACCTTTCACCGTTCATCCCAGAAGAATATCTTGGTTTAAAGTGAGATTAGCGGATTTAAAATCGAAAGAACGAAAAATAAAGAACTGTGTCAAAGAAGGAGCATTCACCTCAAAGCCATTGAGCCACTATAGTTAGCTGACTGCTTATGCACACAGAAAGCTTTACTTGATCTCCACGGGAACAAATCACCCCCTCAGCAGTGACACAACATTTTGCCCTGATCCAGAAAACCCGTTCCCAGAATCCCCACTCTGCTTTTACGCGCAGGGCTGCGTCCTGGTTCAGCTTGGCGCAGCATGATGGCACCCCCTTACCTCCAGGTTCTCCAGTCGCTCCTTGAGCCCCTGCATGGTTTTCCCGAGGCTGTCGATGGAATCGTTCGGATCGGTGGGGACGTCCCCCATCGTGTTCTGCTTGTCCTTCCCCCACGAAGCGCCTTTATTCCCGTACTTCCTGTCGTTGGTGGCTGAGGCGCACAGGGACAGCTTGGTGGTCAGCTCGTTGATGGTGCTCTGCTGCTTGGAGATGGTGTCCTTCTGCTGCACAATCGTCTCCCGCAGCTGCATGACGGTGTTCCTGAGCTCCTCTTCCTGACCCCCCGTGTTTAGGTCCGGGAGTAATGTCACGGGGCAGCTGGCGTCGCCGCTGATGGGGATCGCCCGGCAGATGTAGCGCTTCCCGTCATCCGGCTGGCCGCAGCCAAGAGCGCAAAAACACAAAACTCCGCACAGGAGGAGAAACATATCGAGCGTTTAGGGGAGAAAAAAAAAAAAGAAAGAAACGCTGAACCCTGACCTCCAAAATTCAGTGCGTAAAAGTGTCTCCCCCCCCCGCACCACTGTCCTAAAACAGGCTAAGCTGCTTCCTCACGGTTGCGCCATGTTGACCAGGCAGCAAAGAATAAGACAATCCGATCAAGTGTGAGTCTGTCACCGCAAATCCGGTCAAAGCCGCTTGTTCTAACGGGACTATTTCTGGCGCGAAGAGCGCGCGCACTATGGTGCTGAACGGACAGCTCCGCTTCGCCAAAGCGGATTACCAAAAAAAGGTGTCTGCGAAGGCGCGCTGATTGGCTGGGGATGGCTGACGTCACGGGGCAGTTTGCGCAAACAATCGTTTGCTTGTTTAGTTTATGGATTTAATTGGAGAGACGTTGTTTATTTTGGGTTATGGGTGCTGAGTGGCTTCGTTGTGTTTGGCTGAGAAGCTGAACTTTTAACGTTAGTTGAAAAAAATTAAAAAGAAAAAAAAAAGGAGACACAAATGTTACCGGAACAAACAAACAAAACAAACAAACAAACAAACAAACAAACAAACAAACAAACAAACAAACAAACAAACAAACAAACAAACACATGACTCAACTCTTCAGGACAAGACTCACCTGTCCTACACCCCAAGGATTGAAGATCAACATAAAGACATTACTCAGCCTTTAATGCATGTGACCAAAACATGTGTGAGCCAGGCAAAGACCCTGACTCTTCACTGTGATTTAAAGTTACAGAACTGAGTTTCACAAAAGAGGAACTCCACTCTTCAGTCATGAGCTGAAGAAGCTTCTATCCATCCATCCATCCATCCATTTTCTGTACAC